TTCGACAAAAACCCAACCAGACCTTCCGTTGGCGTAGCACCGACGCAGGCAGCAGCGGGTTCTGCGGCGCCCTCCGCAACGGTGGGGGTGTCGGAGCTGCAAAGCTTTGCAACTCTACCGTCCACATCGTTCCATGTTTGCAGCACAGTCTTGATCCGCTGCAGCTGCTCCGGGAGGCGCGCAAAAACAAGAATGTCTGATCCTTCAGACGCGCCTTTCTTCGCGTAGAGGGCAAAGAGCTCATCGTTTGTGTACAGCAGCGAGCTAAAAGGGGCGTCGCCCGCATCATCCGCAGATATCGGCCCAACGTCGTGTGTCCGGACACCGTCGGAGAGCCACAGGTGGATGACTCTGCGGAACGTGCCCATTCCGCTGGTTCCTTCTGGCGCAGTAGGACTGAACGACACCTGCGTGTACAGCAGCACCTGCTTGTCCGCGATGGTTGCAGTGGTGAGGTCACCAGGAGCGTGGACCATAGACAATGCGTATGCGTCGCTCAACAGGCGTGCGAAGGGTCCGGCAGCCTCGTTCCACGTCTTCCCCTCGTCACTGGATTCGTACACCCTGCGCCGCCACGGCGAAGAAAATCCGGAGGTGGCCATGAAGAGTTTCCCCTCCCACTCGAGAAGCGTGGCAGCGTTACAGTCCTCAGCAGCCACAGGCGCCGCAGGAAGCTTCCAGCTGTCCCCCATTGTCCTCGGAGTACATGACGGTGCAGGCAAATCTGCGTTCTTCTGCGCCCACGCTGGTTCCCATAAGAGGGAAGAGAATCTTCTTTTCCCCAACCGCAACGCCTCTGGCCCCACCGAAGGCGTACAGCTCCTTCCACGAATGCCGCTGCATCTCTGTGGCAAGCTTGGTTTTCAGCGACACGGGCGTCGCCCACGAGACTTGCTTCCCTCCTCCAACTGCCGTCGGCTCCTCCACGCCACCAACAAAGAGCGCAAGGTCCCAGTCAGCGGCTTCCCAGCCAAAGACTCCCGGTGAAGGCGGGTCGCGCAGGGTGAAGTTTGACACCAGAAGAAATAGTTGTTTGCCCCTCACCACGGCCTTGGGTCCGGACAGCGGGCCGCCGTAGATCTTTTTTCCCAATTGTTTGGCCACCACCTGCGGCGTCCAGCCTCGTTTCTCCCACGCAGCGTCTTGGCCCAAGGCGCCATCCTCTCCGTACGGGCGGCACATTGCCCAGATGTCGGCATCCACCGCAGTGCCCAGCACTTTTCCGTACACGCCCACGGCAAGGGCAACCAGCACACCGTTCACGTCAGCAAGAGAATGACCGTAGAATGCCAGTTCATTTGGAACAATGGGGTAACTTCCGCCTTCTTCCTGAGGCGTGAGCGCGGGTGCTTCCCCTGCTTTAAGCAGTTCAACCTCCTTCGGCGGCGTCTCAGCCTCGCAGCTGCTGCACATCAGCAGCACGCAGAGGAGGAGCAGCAGCAGCGCATAAAAAAAAGACGCCGGGACATGTTGGGCCGCTCGCTCTCCTCTTTACTTCCTTGCGGTGGTTCCGTGCAGGCCGCGACCGTTGCGTGTGTTGTTAGCTGCGAAGCCTTCGAGGCGCACAGTAGCGGCAACGAGCAGCGCTTGGTCTCTTTTTCCTTCAGCGTGTGTGTGGAAGAGAGAAGCAGCAGAGAAAAAAGGACAACACACCGCATGCGTGCCGCCACGCCGGCAGAAGAGGGAGTTAAGAACGGCGCGGCCCCACACGGTGGGCACCGCCCAGGCCGCAAAAGAAAAGACGACGGGGAAGAGAAGTAAATAA